GCAGGGAGGTGAGGTCGGGCTCTTGTCCAGGGTGGGTTTTCTAGGGGTTTCTCTCTTTTCTAAGCACTTTTCAGTTCTCTTTGCAGTCTGCGGGACTCTTGGAGAGATGTGTTGGAGGGGTGATATGACTCCGCGTGGTCCCTGCTGCCCACCGTGCCCCCGGGCAGTGTCGCGTGCTGCAGTGAGGGGCAGGAGGCGATGGGGCAGGGCATGGCGGGACCTGCCCTCAGCCGCGGCCCATGGGGCCTCTGGTCTGGGTGGCTCTGCCTGGTACCAGGCCAGAGCTTTGACCCCCACCTCCTCCTGCCCCCCATGTCGCCCTCGTCTGTGTCCTTCGGGGAGTGCTGACCGTGGTCCAGTGCGTGTGTGTGTGTGTCCCTGTAGCTGAGCTGTGTCTGTCAGGGGGTTTATAGGCACCAGACCCACCGCCAAGTGAGGGGGCGATGGAGACCCCCCCCCCCGCCATGCGCAGCCCCCTTTTGGCATCCAGCCCTGCAGCCTGCTCTCCGCTTCACACCGTAGTGACCTGTCCCTGCCCAGCTGGTGAAAATGGTCTGAGCAAGGTGCAGCCATGCAGCTACCTGCAGACCTGCCTGGGTGGCCCTGCTGGGATCCCAGGAGGGATCAAAGGTCCCACACAACACTTGGGAGATGCTCCTCAGCCAGCCCAAGCCTGGCAGCCTCCCACCGGTATCCCACTCTGGCCAGTCCCTGCTCCAGCAGGATCTGGGTGGCCTCCCCGTGTCCAGGGGGTTGCTGGGGGTGGCCGGGCCTTTCCTGGCCGTCCTGCATCTGGGTATCAGAAGGGCTGTGTAAGTAGCCGAGGGGAAAACAAGGCTGTCCTCCTGCCCCTCTGCGGGAACCATGCCTGTTGAGTAGGGGCGCTGCAGCTAGCCACAGGGCTAGCAAAAGCCGTGGTGGGTTATGGCTGTGGGCCAGTAAGAAGGGTTGTACTAAGGGATTTGAGCCCGTGGGGGAGAACTTCTTCCCCCACCATGGAAATAAAGCTGCACTGTGCTAACCCCATACAGCTCTTCCTCTGCTCTTTGACGCGTCCCATCAGGCACTTGGAGGAGGAGTACCGGCCGCTCTCCAAGCGGTGGTGGGCTGTCCCACCTCTCTCTGTCTGAGCCAAGACCCCACATCTCCCAGCACAAGCTGGAGCTGTTCCGCAGGGGATGGGTGACATGTGGGACAGGAGCATCAGCACTAGGCCATGGTGCTGGGGGTGCCCCGTACCCGGGCATGTGCTCTGTCAGGGACATGCAGAAGGTGATCCTTGGCCACAGCATGGCACCTGGGCCAGTGTTGCTGGCCAGGGACAGTCAGTCACAGCCTGACCACGTCCGCTGCGGGACCCGTGGGCTGTGCCTGGCTGTGTCTTCTACATCAGTCTGGATCTGCGTGACGAGCACAGCCACGCAGGCAGCAGCCTGGTAGGTTCTGCTGCATCCAGCGGGACCTTCTGGATGTGTGGGTGCAGGTCACCCCCAGAGAGTCCCCGGGATCGCATGAGCACTGACATGGAGGAAGGGGCAAGGAGTCACTGCCGGGTGCTGCAGAGAAGTGACTGGCAGGACGAGGGTACCCAAGCCCAGCGCACCCTGCTTCTGCACCTCCGCCGGCACCACTCTCCGACGCAAGTCTAACACCACTCACCTACTGCCAAGCCCAGGAAGCTGTTTGAGGGACAGTTTCCAGTTGTCTGAGCTCAACGGGCGCATGTTTTCCTTTTCCCTGGTTTCACTGTGTGATTGTCCCCCCCCCAGCCGGCCGGTGCCCCTGCTCTCTCACCACCCGGTAAGGCAATGGGTTCCTTCCCAGTCACAGGGATGCTGCAGCCCTGTCTGCCCTCTTGTGGCACATGGCTCTGCGTCCGGAATGGGAGGCCAAGAAGAGCTTGCTACAAACGAGAATATCAGCCAGGAACTGGGGTTTGAGCTGAATTCAACCAGCTGGACCCTGACTCCTGGACACACAGCACAATCTCTGGCCAAGCACCTGTATCATCGCACACCCTGCACGTACCATTCACTGCACAGTCTAGACAAGCCCCGCAGTGCACGGCCTCTGCTCGGCACAACCGCGGCTCAGCAAAACCACCGGCAAGCAGCAAGAACGGTGCTGCTCCTCAAAGGGGGATGAGCCAGGAGCCAAGGGTGACCACAGCACAGGCAGTGCCTTCCCTGACCACAGCACCAGGCAGGGTGAGCAGGGCAGGAGCGGTGGTAGCAGTAGGTTTGCCTCCACTCTCCTGCATCCCCTCTGTCTCCTCTCCGCCAGCCCTTCTTGTGCCCCCCTATCCCTGTCCTGGTCCCTGTAACCTCCCCTCAGCCCAGCAGCAATGATGGACTGGGTGCAGACACCCCTCCGCTGGGCTCAGCAATCCCGTCTCCAGCTCAGACCTCTGGCATCACTCTCCTTCCACTCCCCTTGCTGGAAGAGAGCAAAGGATCAGGAGAGACTTTGCTGATGTGTCTGTCCCTCCTGCCTCATCTGCCTTCTGCTCTGAGGCATTGGGAAGGACCCCAAAGCCCCCATGGGTGCTGAGACATGCAGGGGTGGGATAGCTGGGTGAGACTCTGTCCCTGAGGAGTACAGAGAAGAAACCAGCCTGGGCTCCCTCCGTGTTGGAGCGAGGACAGGTCCTGCCCCACTCCCAGGCCGCCTCCGACGTGGCCTCCCCGCCCCACCTCGACCCTGGCAGACAGACAGGGTGCTGCCGCCGCCGCCCCCAGATGAGGACGAAGACACAGAACCATTTAACCCAAAATAATTTTATTGTTGCTGTTGCTTCTGATACAAAAAGGAATTCCACAAAGAGCCACCTCTCTGTGCGGGACAAGGGGGCACAGGTTTTGGGTTTCAACGCTTCCCAAAAAAACAACCAGCAAGAAATGTCAATACAAAAAAAAAAAAAACACCGCACCAGAGAGGAATGAAGGAAACCTTGAGCTTTTTCATTTGAGACTTTTGGCTCAACACACACACACAAACCCATCTCTGCTAATTTATTATTATTAATAGTTTTTTTTTTTTTAAAAAAAAGCACCTGTTGGAAAAACAAAACAAAACAAAATAATAAAAAAAAAACCCCAAACATCAGGCCACCCATCCTGTCACAAGCTCTGGGACTCTTGCAAAATCCAGAGTCTGGAGCTGCATTATGCAAAAGAGTTTTCAAGTTTGACATTAGCCCAAATACAGTATACATACACTTCCCCCACCCCATGCGGCGGCAGCGTACCAGGAAAAAAAAACAACCCCCCCCCAAGTACCAAAAAAAAGCTACAGGAATATGCACTCCTCACAACAACGAGCAATCATAACTTTGGTGGTTATACATAAATATGAGAGGGTGGATGGATACAGTGCACTAACGCTGACGATTCAATACCAGCACCAGCTTCTGAAAGCACCTTAGATTTGTTGATAAGGTAGTCTTGTGTGTCACCAGAGTGAATTTAGCACCGTTCTCTCCTGTGGTGAGGCACAGGGTTGATGCAGAACTGAAAACAGATTCATGCAAAACTAGGAAATGGCATTGCAGAGACCAGCTGTGTGAAGAACACTCTTGAGGGAGGAAGAAAAGCCCACCTGGACAGAATGGTCTGGACAGGCTACTTGAGGCAGCAGGGAGACCTCAATTTACTTAATTAATATTTTCCAGACTCTTTTTAGTGCATTTCATTTGTCTGCATTAACCAGAGACTGTCCATCTCGGTTGTCAACTTGGCCTGACCAAGATGTATGCGACAACCAGAGGGGAGCGACTTGCAGCCCCCGTTTTCAGAAGTATTCCTGACTGGGGGGGATCTGGCCATGAGCACCGGAGTCACTCAGATGGGGTGGCTTGGAGTCAAGGACTGTTTGCAAAAATGAAGCTCTGGCTGTCCCTGCCTCTTTCTTCCTGCCAGGCGGCAGAGACCCTCCCCGCCCCGCCCCATCCCCATCTTGCTCCTGCTGGTGGGAAACTTTTCACAGGATTTTCAAACGCTCACATCGGTGGTGGCCAGGAAATCTGCCCCTTACAGCATGCCACATACATCCTGCCAAGCCCTCCATCCCCTCTGGCATGGGAAGCATCCAGATGCTCTCTACCAGCCTCGTGACATTTTTCCTGCCAGTTTAGTTCGTCCAACCACATTCAACAATGCAATTATTTGCCTTTCCCCAGAGCTCCTCCTCATTTATAGAAGGACACCTTAATCCCTGGACTAGCTGGAGCTCTAGAAAAAAAACCTTCCAGCTCCAATCTTTGGAGGGCGTGCACGTGTTTAGCATACCGCAGTGTGAAAACCCTAGGTTCCCTACAGGAGCCTGTGGTCCTGTGGCCTGGCTGCTTCGTGATGTGAGGTTAGCAACCTGAACTGCCCCTTCACTCAGAGGTGACCTTTTCTGTTTGACAGAGGAGCCCAAAAGGACCAGAGGACATGGAGAGGACAGAGAGAGACAGAGCACAGCCAGTGTAGGTATGGGATGGTTTCTGCAGCACCATCGTAACAATGCAGAAGCAAAGGAGGAACAAGAGCTGTTGGGAAATGCACTAATACCACACCGTGCCATAGCTCCTTCCAAAGCTGCCCCCAGCCCCCCCTCACATTTCCTGGGCTGTGGGGTGATGTACGGCCTGCGACCATGAAGGACAGGCAGCTTCCCCATGGTACTGCCCTTGCCAGCTCGGACTAACAGTATCTTGGTTAAAGGCAGGAGCTGAGCAGAGGGAGGGAGTCCCTGCTAACAAGGTTTGAACCTTTGGCAAAGCTTTCATGAGCTCTTTTGCGGTGTGGCTTGGTTTTGACTCAAGCACCCCCTGAAGCAGAGTATCCCTGCATGGCCAAGGTGAGTGCTGAGCCCAGAGGGACATTTCCCATCAGTTGTACAGTGCAGTGGGGGAGGTGGCGGCAGGGGGTGCAGCGAGAGAAGAGGCAGTTGTTTCCAGGTGTGGATGGCAAGGCTAAGGACTGTACTGTCGGTTGGGTGGGTGGGTCTCGTGGATGTTAGTAGAGCTGGAGCTGGAGCTTCATCCTCAGTGCTTGGCCCAGCTCCCCTGCTAAGTAGTTGAGGTGGTTCTTGGCCTCTAGTTTCTGCAGTTCCCTCTTGCGGTACAGGGGCACACTCACGATTTCCAGCAGGTAGGTGCCAGGCACTATTTTCTTGCGGCCGAGGTGCAGGTAGCTGAGCCCCTCTTTTTGGTGGATGCGGAAGTAGCCATCCTCATTCCCGTGGGAGATGAGGTACCGCACACGGTTCTCCAGGGGCTCCACAGCTGGCAGGAGCTCCAGGATGTGCTCCTTGTGAGCCAGGTCAGAGAGGTTCAGCATCATGGACAGAGGAGCATCCACATCCATGCTGGCCAAGTTCACAGTGTGATCCTTTGGAAGGAACCAGGCATGTTACTTACAGACACCAAGAAAAGCTCATGGCCAGGTGAAGGAGGACTTGATTTAGAGGAATTCTGCCCCATGGGCCACCCCAAAGCAGCTCTGAGAAGTGGCTGCTACTTCTATGGTCCTTGCTTTCTTTCAAGATTTTCTTGGTACCCTGTTCATGTCTCTGAGACTGAACCAGCCAGTACACAGCCCTCATCCTCAGGGGAAGAACCAATAACTTCAGAGGCATTTTCCTCCCGAGGCCTGAAGGACCCATAGTGACCTCCCAGCCCAATCTGTCCTGCCCAGGCCTGTGAACTTCTTGGGGGAGCCTTGGACAGAGGCCAGAACTTCCCTCCAAGATATAACCTGTATTTATAGTGACAGGTCCAGTCTGGAGTCAGACAGTAAGTGCTGACAGTCCTCTATGGCCCTGTGGGAACTGCTCCCCCGTCAGCTCCCCTTGCAAGGAAACATGTGTGCTTTATTTCTTGGTTGCATGTATTTCCAGACATCTGTGGCCAAACCACACAAGCGTGTGTCACTTAAGATTGCCCTGACCTCCTCTAATGTATTGTGAAAGACCTTCCGTTTCTGCAGGACTTCTGGACTCAGCGGCATCCACAAACACCCAAGCACCCAGCATGGGCAGGTACAGAGTGAGCTGCTGTCTCTGTCTGGACTGAGGCAGCCCCACAGGAATGGGCACACTGCATGGGATCCACTCCAGGCAGCTGTCCCCCAAGTGACCCAGCTCCTGCCTTGCTCCACCCCATCCAGGATGCCATGGATTTCTTACCTGGTGCTTCTCAGTGCCGTTGACACTGCGTCGCTGCCGACCCCTCTTGGGGTAGCCATTTATCTTGCACTCATAGCAGGTTTCAGGGGAGAGCAGGTTGTCTTCATCCTCTTCTTGGGGGGCAGGAAGGTAGGAACCTTTCCCAAAACCCAAGCCAGAAATACAGTGTCTGGTGGCAGAAGAGCAGAGAGACCCATCTCAGATTCATGCTTCAGGAAGGAAATCTTACCATTGCCCTCACAGGTTCTCCATGTGGCACCCAGAAACACATGGAGGATCGTGCCTAGGACACGGCTTGTACAGAGTGGCTTGTACACAGGACATGCCTGAGAGAGATCAGGCCACGCCTGAGAGAGATCGGGCCACATCTTGTTTAGCTGTGGCCAGTAGGTTTAATCTGTCTGCACCCTGGACTAGATGGATCTGCAGAGCATCTGCTACAGTGCTAGCAGCTGCACTAACCATTGGATTAGTGAAATGGGAGAGGAGATGCACATTAACATGAGGATCTTGTGATGGGTGAGGAACAGTCTGACATGGAGAAGCTGAGGACTCATGTGGGAATGGGAGCTCACTCGCTCCTGGGGCTCCTTCAAATTGTATTGGCAGAGAGCAGAAGTGTGGTGATGGAGCATGTCTGGGGGCACCATGCGCTTGGCAACCTGCAATATCCCCCAGGAATGTACAGGTGCCTGTGGGGACTACCTGCTGGCTGCTCTCTTACCCTTGTCCTGCTCGGAAGTAGCCTCCAGGACAGCCGCAGAGATAGCCTCCGTCTGTGTTGGAGCAGCCGTAACTGCAGGGGCTGCCGCCTGCCGAGCATTCATCCACATCCTGGCACCCCCCAAATGCCTGGTCAAAATCGAAGCCGGATGGGCAGACGCACTTGAAGCTTCCCAGAGTGTTGTAGCAGGAGGCAGAGCCGCAAGCAGTGGGGCTGGAGCACTCGTTTTCATCTGCACCCAAAGACAGCAGAACTAGTCAGAAACTCAGCGGAAGGGAGCTCCTGTGCCGCTGGTGCTGCCCACCCCGCATGGCCAAGGAAATCTGCCCACAGCCATCGCTAGGCTGGCAGCAGGCTCCCTTCTCCTGGCTCCCCTGCGAGACCTCATCCCATGCAGGTCCCTGAAGGACTGCCTTGATGTTTTTTTTATCCTCCTGCAGTGCAGGGAGCTGCTGGCCTCAGAGGCACTGGGAGCTCAGCTCTCTGCAGAGCAGCTTCCTGACGGTCCCTGTTGCAGGGAGAACCCGGGGCAGTGCAGGGCAGGGCAGGGGCACCATCTCTGGGCACAGGCCCGGTCTGTCTCTGGGGCAGGGCAGGAAGCTCAGTGCTGGGTTTGCAGAGATGAGCCCAGAATCCAGTGTCAGAGACGGCCAGGGGTGGCTGGGCTCAGGGCTTAGCCGCCCTCTATCCTCCATCCCACAGCTACAGGATACAAGAGCCCCCATCCCACACTCACCCACACACTGATTCCACTGGTAGTGCTGCACGTAGCCCTGCGGACAGCCGCAGCGGTAGCCTCCCAGCACGTTCTGGCAGCCATGCTGGCACCGATGGTTTCCATCACACTCGTCCACATCTGCAGCAATGTAACAACAGAGATGGTGGTGAGACAACTTCTCCCTGTCCTGTGGGCAGCGCTGGGTGCAAGGGGACCATGTGGACATGGTACATGCCTGGCAGCCAGCATCCTTGAGGGTGTTCATGTGGGCGGGCGGTTCTTCTAGCTAATTATGTCTCTACAGCTTGGACTTGAATAACACCCTCAGCCCCAAGGTCCACATACACCCCCTTGCAGACCCTGCATGGATGTTTTTTGATTTAAGGCTTGGCCTGGACCGTTACCAGATCCGCTTCAGGCTCCCTGTACTGACCACAGGCTTTTCTTTAGCACAGCGCATGGTGGGTTTTGGCCAGCATGAGATCTCCCCTGATGAGATACAGGACCATTCCTTTCCCACCTTTGGCTGCTGTGGTTGCAGCACCATGACCTTCATCTATTTGTCCAAGAGCCAGTGTTTCTCCAGGCAGGTCAGGCGCTGACCTCCTCCTTTGCACCAGGGCTTTCCGTGTGGGTTTCTGGTGCCCCACAGTAAGGAGTAGTCCCTTCTGGGCCGGACTGAGCTGCCTTAGAGACTGTGAGTGAACTAGGAACTCTTCCACGTGGAACATGTGTCTATCAAAGCCCCAGAGACACAGACCCACCTTCGCAGTTGACACCAGAGCTGTCCAGAGAGAATCCTTTCTGACACTCGCAGTTGTAGCTGCCTGGCGTGTTCAGACACTGTCCTTTGGCTCCACACAGAGAGGGCTGAGCTGTGCACTCATTATTGTCTGCAAAACACCGGCAGCCGCTTGTAAGTCCACCCCCAACGATGCGGCTGTGTGCAGTTTTGCAGAGAGCTACCTTGCATCGTGGAGCTTAGCCCAGTCTGAGCAGCAGACAGACAAGTCAGATGCACAACCCCAGGCCGACTGGAGAGGGGCAGTGCTCTAGAGCCAGAGCTGGGGGGATGGAAAGACTCTCCTGGGCTTAAAGCTAACCCGTGGGGACCTTGCTGGTGCTGTATAGCAGAGCAGTGAATGCCTCTACTCACCGATGCAGGATGAGTGGTGCTGAGTGAAGCCTGGGGGGCATTTGCAGTTGAATCCTCCGATAATGTTCACACAGAGGAACTGGCAGTTGTGCTGCTTGGTGGAACATTCATCCAAGTCTAAAGCAACAAGCACAAGAACACGTGTCTCAGTTTCTCTCACTGATATCTTTGTGGTCTGAGTCTGACACCTGCATGTACGTGGTGATACACAGAGGTCCTGGGCAGACCAGGACCTGACATGGGCCAGCCTCAGGAACAACACACGCAAAATTCTTATGCAAGAATAACAAGTCCAGGGAGCCTCTCCCCACCTCAGCTGCTGATCACATACAGACATATTTGGAAGACGCAGAGATTTTTCTCTGCCTCTCCTGTAATCCACAAATCCCAGACTCTCCCAGGCTCTCAGGCCACCTTCCTTGCAGCCTGATGCATCAGCACTGTGAGAGGTGGGCAAAGGCCCAGCCTGGCAGCTGCCAGCACGAGGAGGAGCCCTGATAGTGCCCAGCCCGCTTGTAAGAGATGTGCTGGTTCAAGGCTCCTGGAGCTCAGGACAGCTTGAGATATGCTGCGCAGTCTGTAGGAAAGGGCAAGGAATATTTTTTTTTTCCCTGATGAGACAGGTCTAGACTGTCTGTAGAGGGATGCAACCCTGATGCATCGGTCCACGAGGGTCCAGCATGGCACCTTTTTCCACGTCTAGGCTTGTCCTGTGGCTGAACAGAAAGACTTGACTATTCTGGCACATGTTAATCGGCTCCCGCCATCCCCGCTGCTACCAGAGATGAGGCAGTGTCTCTGCTGCCTTCTCCTGGGTGACTACCTTTGCAGATCTTCCCATCTTCTTGCAGAATGTACCCTCGGGGGCAGGAGCACTGGTAGCTGCCTTCTGTGTTCTTGCAGATGAAGTTACACGGCTTAGGGGACTGGTTACACTCATCCAAATCTAGACTCGAGAGGCAAGACACATCAGCATTCGTAGGTTGTGCTGCTGGATTGGGTCCCCACCGCCCCTTGGACCATGCAGTCTACCAAGGGGCTGCTGAATACCAGGTGATCCCAGGTTTCATGGCCCCACATAACTAAGTGGTCAGATGGCCCCCTATGGATCCTGGCACTCCCTGCCCCAGATAAATGCGTCTTTTTCACTCTCCAGGAAGCAGGTGAGCAGAGGCAGGGGCTTTGAGGGAGCACCTTGGTTTGAGCCAGCATAACAAATCTAGGAGATCTCCTGCAGGAAGAGAGCTGAATCGCCTCCCTGCTCAGATACGGAATGTTGTGTGACCTGGTGATTGAGAGTGACATCTTTCCCAGCCCCTTCCTAGCTGAAGACTGGTAGATGCTCCTCCTTGAGTACTGGGAACATCAGGGATGGGGCCAGCCCTGTACTTCTGGAGCTTTATCACCTCTGCCCAGCAGGGTCCAGCAGCCATGGCTCTGACAAAGCCCGTAGCTTTGAGCCAGGCTGGAGGGCACAAAGCTGGAGAAAGGGCAAGGATGTTTAGAGAGGAATCCTGTCCTGATGCTCAAGGTCATATCTGCTCTACTCCTAGGCACAGAGCTTGGTTTCTGGGAGCCAAGACATCTTTTCCACTCCGTGTCTAGGACACACAGCTGCTGGCATGGTCCTGAACACCATCTCAATACTGGAAGTATGGCATATCCTCAACTCCTGCAGTACTGCCCCAGAAGCCTGCAGCTGTGATTCCAGGGGTGCCTTTTATGTCAACATCTGGACTCCCAACGTGGCACTCAGGCTGGCTAGAACCAGCTGCCCTGCCAATGCAAGGTTTGGCTGCTCACAGCCTTTCATCTCTGGATCACACGCCCTGCCAGTCCCCGTGACTGCCGGGGTCAGAGGGAGAAGACAAGGAGCCTGGGTTTTAAGGAGCCAAACAACATGGAGTGATGACTGATGTCTAGAGGACCATGCAATAGGGCAAAGTGTCCAGAGCCCTGCTAAGGATATGCAGGACAGTATGGACAGAGGTGAGGGCAGGTACCAGGTGGGGGCTACAGGACCCTCTCTTTGCATGCTGAAAAGTAGGGATGGAAGCCTGCCAAGGCCAAGGGCTGTCCAGAGACATGGGTTTCCTTCTCCCGACTCACCCACACAGGCTGTGCCTGTGATATCTGCGGTGTAGCCCAGCCTGCAGTGGCACTGGAAGGAGCCGATGCTGTTGATGCACTGTCCGTTCTTGCAGAGGTTGGGCAGTACCTTGCACTCGTCGATGTCTGCGGGAGGGAGGGAAGGACCTGTTAGTGCCAGTGCTGCCTCTGTCCCCATGCTCCTGTGCCAGGGCAGCTCAGACTCTCCCAGGGAACCAGAGACTACGTCTGGGGAGTTGTAAGATTACGTCGCAGAGGCTTCTTGTCTGCTCCAGGCGCTGTGTAGGTCTGTCCCAGCCAGTTCCCAGGGGAATTCTGCCTGTACCCACATCCCTGCTTTCTCCCCTCTGCATTGAAGGTAATTTGGGCCCCAGCTCACCTCTCCCATCAGTGGAGTACCCTGGCCCATGAGGACACATTTTCTTGTACTGGGCAGTTCCAGGAAGGGGGCAGAGTTCACACTGGGGGCCCCAGCTGCGCCCGCTGTTGCAGCAGCACTCAGATTTGGTAACCAGGTTGCGGTTGGTGGAGGACATCTGGCACATGGTTTGCAGTACTTCAGTGAAGCAGAATCCCTGGCGGGTGTCTGGGCAGAGAGAGCGGGGATACAAGTTCAGGATCTGAGTCAGTGTCGGCACCGGGGATAGCCGAGCAGCCTGTCCAGCCTGTGCCGGTTCCAGCATGGAGGGCAGTGTGGTTTGGATAATGCCAAAGATAAAGGCAGTGCCCCAACAACCTTTCCTCTTAGAAATCCTAAGACACCTGAAAAGCATCATCTGCTACTAAAGAGAGGCTGCTCAATACCCACCAGGTCTTGGTAATTACCAATACACTCTGTGCCAGAGGGGCTGACTTCAAAACCTTCATTGCAGTCACAGCGGTAACTTCCCACCGTGTTGATGCAGCGGCCGTTGGGGCAGATTCCAGGCTTGGTGCGACACTCGTTCTCATCTAGGAGGGAAGGAACGGCAAAGAGCTGCGGTGAGGCATAGGACAAATTTCAGCTTTCCGTGAGTCCCCGCGCTACCGCTCAGTTTGAAATGCCCTCACATAGTCCTTGAGGACTACTTCCACATCCTTAGGCAGCTGAAAAACACATCCACCCACCCTGGACCTCTCCCAAAGCAGGGTGGCTGAGTACCCGGCTTCCCTGGTTTGCACATTCTCCACCTGCAAGTGGCCAAGCTGCTGGGCTAGGAGTGGAGCTGGGCCCGCTCTGCATTCCTCCTGTGCCTAATACTGTGCAGGTCTGGGCTGTCCAGTGCTGGCCCTTCTAAAAGCAGCTCAGTGCAAAGAAGTTTGACACAGACATGGAAGGACTCAACAGAAAGGACACATGGCATAATGCTGTGTCATCCTGTGCTGGAACTGTGTAGACCCACGGGTCCAGAGATGAACAGGGGTTTTGTGTGTGTAGGCGTCCAGTAGGACATACAGGAAGTTCTGACACATGGGAAACCCTGGGGAGGAGCTGTTTGACAGAAGGACATAAAATAAAGCTACAGGGACAATGCCTAGAAGAGGATGGTCTCCCAGCCCCACTGGGAATCCCTCCCAGCATAGTCCTTGGTACCTGTGCAGCCCTCTCCATCGGGCCTGCGTTGCATTCCTGGTGGGCAGATGCACATGAAGGTGCCAATGAGATTCTTGCACAGCATCCCTCGAGACTCGCAGTCGTGCAGTCCCTCTGCACACTCATCCAGATCTGCAACCGAGAACCTCATGAGACCATGTTCAGCCTGCCAGCTCTGCAGCACTGTGAGCGCTCACATCTGCACTGCTCCGCCAATCCCTACTGCCTTGGTCCAGGCTGGCTGGCACACAGCATAGACACCAAGGGAGGTGAGAGACGCCAGCTCAGAAGTCCTGCCTTCTCTCTGTACAGCACCAGAGACCGGCTAAGTGCAGGGGGCTGGGGAGAGTGTGGGAGCTCGCCTGATGGGTGCAGAAGGGGATTTTACCTCTGCACATTCTTCTGTCTTCTCGGAGGGCGTATCCCGATGGGCAGGTGCACTCGTAGGAGCCAAAGGTGTTGATGCAGCGGAAGGCACAGAGCAGGGGATTCAGTGCGCATTCATTGATATCTGGGAGGCAGGAGAGAGGAGAGAGCTCGACTCTGTGCTCTCAGCAGAGTCAGATGGGCAGTAACAGTGGTTACTGGACTCCCCCCTCCCCATGCATTCATCTCATGAGAACTTTGTTCCACCAAGGCTTCCTGTCATGGCCACCGGTTGCAGAGGGACAGACACCTGGTGTCTCAGCACCTTTGATGGGGACAGGGTCCTGGCTCCTTGGTGAGGCAGCTCCTGCATTTAGGCAGGTCTCCAGACCTCCTCCTAGGCTCCAGCCTCAGAGGAAGCTGAAGGGGACCAGCGCTGATGTACGCGCTCATGTGCAGATGAGCCCCAGCCAGCTTTTCTGCACTTTCCATCGGAGGCTGACCTGACTGCTGTTCACCCAGGCAGTGACCCACATGGCCCAGTATGCAATGGGGGTGAAGGGATTGCCCCACAGCAGCATTACCTTCGCATGTCATCATGGGACCTGGCTCAAAGCCCTCATCACAGGCGCACTCGAAGCCGCCCACCACGTTGGTGCAGGTGCCGTTCCCACAAGGGTTGCCAATGGAGCATTCATCGGTATCTGGAGGAAGCCGGGACCACGTTAGGTGGATATGTTAGATAGGAAAGGTGCAGGTTGGTCTCTTCTTGCAGCCAGAGCATTCAACCAAGCCCAGCAAAGCCAGGAGCCAGGGGTAAAAAGCAAAGGGACAGGGGAGAAGCAAGTTCCTTCTCTACACACACACGCACACGCTCATAGCCTCTGACATAAGGAGGACAAAAGCAAAATGGAGCAGGTACTCCCCATGCAGACCCTTACCCACGCAGTTGACTCCAGTGTAGTCCAGGTTGTACCCAAAGGGGCACTCGCAGCGGAAGGACCCATCGGTGTTAATGCAGGCCCCATTTATGCAGACACCCAGGTTCTCTGAGCACTCATTAACATCTAGAAGGGAAACCAAGGCAGTGAAACCTCATGCGAGCACATAGCCAGAAACATAACCCTGCCCTCTCAGGGCTGACCCTGCAATCCCAGATACTCCCTCTCCAGAGCTGGGGGCTGAACCTTTGGTGAGCAGTCAGAGACCATGAGCTTGGGAGGGCACCCAGCCCTATGTCCCTCCCCTCCTGCCACTGGGATTCAACCCTACTCTCCAGATAGCCTAAGTTTGGTTGCTTCTAGGCAACCCCCCCCCAACCCAAAAACAAATTTCTTGTCATCCCTAGATCGGACCTTACCTTCTCGGGTGTCACCTGGGCCTGGGATGGCTCCATGGCCATATGGACACAGCTCCTGGAAGGCAACTGGAAGAAAGCAGAAGAAGTGAGATATGCTTAAAAGTGCTTCCACTCACAGAAGCTGAAATGTGCTTTGGAGGCTCCTAGAGCATGACTGAGAGCTCGGCAGCTCACTGCCCATGGGAGGCCACAAAACCCCAGCTGGCTGGAAAACACCTGTGCTTGCCTTGGATCTGGAGGCACTGAGATGCTTTTGCCTTATCTAAAGCCCTGCAGAGAACTGAGAGCAGATCCAAAGCAGAAATAAGCCTGACTGTGGTTGCTGGAGATCCAGGGAATACCGCAGTCCAGTAAGGGCTACTAGGTTTCAAGGCAGTACTCTCCAGATGGAGGAGCCCACTTTGCTGGACGGTTTGCATTGGTGGTTGTCTTGCCTGACCTGCACACCTTCCCCACACTCTGCGCACGTAGAGGAAGCTCGCAGCCATCTCTCCCGTGGAGCCAGGTCCCAGCACACCTACCGTTTCCTTCCTGCGGGCACAGCTCACAGGGGTCTCCCCAGCCTTCTCCTGGCATCTTGCTGCAGCAACACCGAGCCTTGGTGGTGTTGAAGGCCTTGGGGACAGAGCACTTTCCGTTGTCAAAGCGAGTGAAGCAGAAGCTCTGGCGAGTATCTGTAGGAGGATGGGGAAATGCACAGGTCATTGCAGACGTCCAGGATGGTTATGCTCCCCTCCCCACCGTGATGAGCTACACTCACCAAAGCACCGTCGGCCGTTATCAGACAGCACAAAGCCTGGAGGGCAGACACACTGGAAGCTGCCAGGGGTATTGGTGCATGTCCCGAAAAGGCAGATGTTGGGCTCCTCTTCACACTCGTTGATATCTGGGAGCACCAGGGACATACTACTTACAGAGCAGCCAAAGGTCACTCCTTTCCTCATTGCATTAAAATCAGCTGAGGCTGTGATGTCTGGGGAGCTCCCATGCCTGCAGGACATCACCCTGGCCCTAACCCTTAACCCACCCTCAGGGTGAATGGGACAACGAAGAGGCCAGGGCACAGCAAAACCACCGAGCCTCCTCCGTCATGGGAGCAGGCCTTGCCTTGCTCTGTGTCCAATTGCTTTCAGGAAGATATTTGGGGGTGGTGATGCATGCCCCTGCCCACTTAGGAAGAATACGGTTGTTCTGGGATAGTCCAAGGTGACCACATGCTGTGCTGGAAATGGAGGAGGCAGAGAGCCAACATTACCGATGCAGTTGTCGTTCTGCACCTCGTACCCAGGGGGGCAGATACAGCGGAAGGAGCCCTCCAGGTTCTGGCAGGTGCCCGGGGAGCAGGTCCCAGGCAGGCTCACGCACTCGTTGATGTCTGCGGAGGAGGGGAAATAATCAGTGATAGTGTCTGTGCTCAGCTCGGAGGACTTGGGTGCAGGGCCCCTTACTGCACTCAGGCCCTACCTGCAGCTGCACCCTGCTTTGCCCAACAGATGCAAGGGAAGCAGATAAAACATTTTTCAGGGTGTTCTACCTTGTGTACCCTGGGAACATGGACTCAGCCCTGCAGGACCTGGTGCTGCTGGAGGCAGAGTGGCGGACACAAGTAACCGGCGTACAATGCGCCTGTCTGCCCCCACAGCCCCTGCCTGCAGGGTAGTTCCCAAGGCATCCCTGGTACAACTCTGCATGCTTTAGGGGCATGGACAGGACAACATTTCTCCTCGCTGCCTGCAGGTCTCAGCACAGGGAAAGGGACTGGCTTGACTGTTCCCTGCATTGCTGGAAGGGAGATGCAGGCATAGTGGGGCCCAGTTCAGCTCTCCATGGGCAGTCAAATGAGCAAGGCTTTGGCTCCAGAGGACTTGGGGCCTTGTGAGCAGTTCTGGATAGTCCACTGCTCAGTTGCCTCTGGTGGGACCAGCTTGGGGACCACGTCTCATAGCACTGCACAGTGTCATCCGTGCCAACATACAGCTCAACCCACTGAGAAGGGCCAGCCTGCGGCCCGGACACTCACCTACACAGTTCTTCCCATCAGGGGTCCGGTCATACCCCTCTTGGCACAGGCACTGGAAGGAGCCGATGCTGTTGATGCACTGGCCGTTTCGACACACCTGCCCCACCAGGGATGAACACTCATCAATGTCTGTGGGAGGGAAATGATAAGCACAACGGGAAGAGATACGCACAGCATGTGAGTGTCAGCGTGCCGCCTTAACCAGCCCTACACCTCTGACACATTCGGCTACACCCCTACCAGGTGACCCCCAGAGCCGACCCCCTGTATGCCACTGTGTGACACCCCATGCCCCGCAGCCGTCGCCACGTTGACCTCAGTCAGCTATCCATGTGGTCAGGATTTCATGCAACTCACCCATGCAGTCGTTATTGTGCGTTAGCTCAAAGCCAGGGAAGCAGAGGCAGTTGTAGGAGCCAACCGTGTTCTTGCAGGTCCCGTTTCCACAGGGCTGTCGGTCACACTCATCAATATCTGCAGAGAGAAGGTCACAGCTGATTCAGGGACTGAGTGAGCTGACAGCCACCGTCTTGGGTGTGCAGACAGGGTCCAGGCATCTGCACAACACCCCTGTGGCTTGCAGGGACAGCCTGGGATCAAGAGGACACAGTGGCCCTTGGCTGTCCTTGGCACCACCCAGCAGGTGCTGGAGAGAGCTCACGTCCATCCTGATATCTGATTCACATGGCAGGGCTGTGGCAGTCACACTGACCCATGCACATGGTCTGCTCCCCTGTGGCCTTGAAGCCGTTGTGGCAGATGCAGACGTAGCTGCCCTCGGTGTCAACGCAGTCCCCATGGCTGCAGACATTGGGGATCTCCTGGCATTCGTTGCGACCTAAAACAAAGCAAAGTGGGCACTAGTGAGCAGAAGGGACGGACCAAGTGGGAAAAGCTGAGGCACTGGCCTTCCGCAGACCCCTGCCTGCTGGTGGGAAGCTGTGCCTGTGAGCAGCAGCACAGCAGAACGGGGTCTTGGTTTTCTGAGAGGTGGCTTCACAGAGCACAAGATTCATGCACTACCATCTCAAAAAAAAAAAAGTAATTGGAGAAAATGGCCTGAGCTGCCAGACTAAAGCTGCACTTCACAGTGACCTTTTCTCACCCCTCAGGAGCCCACAGTCCCTGGGAATTGTTCCAAAAGTACAGGTATGCCATAATCACAGCACAGCCAGGTCATAGTCCCCAGGCTCGACAAAAGACCAGGAAGCCATGCATGGTTCTGGCACGTCCTTCATCCTGTCCTTCCTTGGGTCCACACATGGTGGTCAGCAAAACCATCTGAAGAGCCTAGGCAGGGGTGTCAGCGCCTCACACACGTGTCTCTGGAATAGGTAGCAAAGAGCTCCCATCTTACCCACGCAGGCTCCGCTAGGCGACAGCTTGTATCCAGTTGAGCATTCGCACCTGTAACTGCCCGGGATGTTGATGCAGTCGGCGTTGCGCTGGCAGAGGTTCTCCCCACTGCTGCATTCATCGATGTCTGTGGGAGGAGAGCAATGCAAACCTTGACTGTGCAGAGTGCCAAGCGCTCACCAGGCACCATCATCCTGGTAGGGCTGGAGCGGCTCAGTGGAGTCAACTGAATTTTAACCCTTGGTTTGCTCCAACCAGGGTCAATTTTCAACCTTTTTCTATTGCTTTGCAATAAAATAATGAATTTTAGTTACAGCTCAAAACTTTGAAACACTCACATTTACAAACTTTTAATAAAAAACCCAAAAAAAACAGAGGAGGGGAAAACCAGACAGGAACATGAATGAAAACCAGCAATTTTTGTCCAACCATTGATGCGGAAAATGACGAAGATTTCCAGAAGGCTGAGAACATGTCGGCTGACAGCCCTGGTGCCCCATGAGGTGGGGAGATGCTAGTGCCACGCTGAGAACCCCCACCCTCCTGGGCACCCTTGGCAGCGTTGCCCTGGCTGCCCCGTTACCTTCGCAGATGAGCAGGATGTTGTTGTAGCTGAATCCAATGGGACACTCGCACCTGAAGCTGCCAATTTGGTTGATGCAGACACCGTTCGTGCAGATAGCAGGGATCTCACTGCACTCATCAATATCTGCACACAGACAATATCTCTCAGCATCGCGGGAAGGCAGCAGGGAGGAAAGCATCCCCCATAGCTGGGAGACAGCTGCCCTTGTTCATTCTAAAAAGAAGACTAGCAGGAAAGGGCCACCAGACAAACAGTGGAGCAACTCTTGGAGGATTCATACTGGATCCTGCAGATCATGCCAGGCTAGGGCCGCTCTGCAGAGGTCTGGGTACACAACAGAGCCACGCAAGACTCCAAGTCGTAGGAGCCACGGGATCACTGGCAGAGCCTGTACAGCACACGTTGGGAGGGATCCTACTCAGGACATCCACCTTGTTTTCTCCAAGTGTGTCTCTGCAGTAACATGGACACTTGCTCAGGCTCTGGGATCAGGCTGCAAATGGGAAGTCCAAGGGGTCACTGAAACACTGAGATGGCTCGAGGGTCCCTGGCTGTCGCTGTGCCCACCACAATCCACCACCAGTCCTGCCAGCCCTGCAGCCCCACACTGATACCCCTCTGTTGCACTTTCTTCCTGAGAGCAGAAGATGAACTCATCTCCTTCCTCTTCAGTCCCCTGGCTGGCACTGCCAAGGCCAGGTGAAGCAATGATTAACCAGCCTGTTGTCTCACAAACTACCAGCGAGTCCATTTTTCAAGACTGCAAAACATCCATGGACAAGCCCACAAATCCCAGGACTTTCAACAGCACCTCTGGCTTTCCATCTACCAAAACACAAACCCGAACCCTCGGCTCTCAGCGGTGCCCTGCTGCTGTAGGGCCGGTGCTGCTGGCAGCGTGAGTGCCAGGGCTATCACGGGTCCGGATCTACCTGGCCACTGGCCACCATCTGTGGTCACTGGCCACCTGTCTCTCCAGGTGGGACAGAAACCAAGGGACAATTGCAAACATGGGGAGGTCTGAACAGCCCAGCCACTCAGGACATAGGCTTGAAGGCTTGGCCAGCTGCTTGCAGCCTGTTTGCCACCTCTTTTCCTTCTCTCTCCTTTGCTCAGGGCTTAATTTGCTAAGGGAGGGGAAGGCAAGAAGTTCACAGGCACTGTGGGAAGAAAGCAGAGAGGCAGAGAGCAGACCTGGCTCTGCAGGGCATGGGGGCTCTACTCACCGATCGGCTTCCCTGTGTGGATGTCGATGATAAACCCAGGGGCCTGGTTCCCACACAGGATCTGGTACTCGGCTGGAAGGGGAACACCGAGGTCATGGCCATGCCCGGCAGGCAGAGTGGGGTGGAGCAAGGGACGAGAGGGACAGGGGCCAACTATGGCTGGAGTGAGCGGAGAGGGGGTCTGACAGGCGCGAGGGGATCTGCACGGTGCTTGGCCAGGAGTCGCAGGGGCCGGCACATGGGGAACCCCAAGAACACGTATGGCACCAGGCAAAGGGCTTACACGCGCATGCACTGCAGGGCACGTACGCACACACTAAAAGGCGTGCGCACACATGGCATCTGTGTGCCTCGCATGCGGGTACAGACTCACTCCTCCACGCAGGGCACGGCCAGCACTTCCCGCTGCAACGTTGCCACCCATGCCCAGCCTGCCCATGCAGCCCAGACCCACTGCCGGCCCACGCATCCCACACATCATTTCCTCTCCCCAGATACTGTCCCAGCCCTTTGTGTCCTTCTAGTGCCATGCATGTCCCCACAGCGCTCACCCACAGGTGCTGCCTGCCAGACACGATGCTCTCCCTTCTGCCCCTCTATTTTGTTAGTGTCTGTACACGGGATCGCCAGAAAAGCGAGGGGGCGGCCATGGTACCAAGATGCCCTTCCAGAAAGATTGACTTACGGCTGGCTGGTGTGGGGCAGGGCTCGCATGGCTTGTTCCAGGCCTTGCCAATGTTGTAGGAGCAGCAGCACATCTTCTTGGTCATGTTGAAGGAGAGCTCGTTCTCACACGTGTCGTTGTAGTTGCGATAGCACAGCATCTTGTGCCAGCCCCAGGAATGGGTGCTGCCGGCCCCAGAGCACTCATTGCTGGGGGTATGCCACCCTGTCCTGTCCTGGTGCTCGGGCACTGCAGGTGACACACAGGGGAGCCCAGCAAAGTGGCTGCAGTGATGGGCTGAAGCCCCGCTCCAGTGAGAGCATTGGGTCCTGCCTCATAGCAGGCAGTGGCAATGCTCTGCTGGGTCTCTCACCGCCCTGTGCCAGCCGCTATAACTGCTGGCAGGACAAACGTTAGCTCCTCCAGCACGGGCAATGTGCGCGGCGTAGGGGCAGGGATGCGGTGAGGCACTGGTGAACTCAGGCGTCCTGAGTCCCAGCCCCTGCTCCCAGCACTTCTGCTCCATCTGCTCAGCCACGTTGCCCACACCGTGCTGCCCACAGCACGACCCAGGGGTCACGCACAGGCAGGGCACTGCCCGACCCCTTCTTGCAGATTCGGAACATGCCGTACCCATGCAGTTATTTCCTCCGTTGACTTGCATGTACTCAGGGGGGCACACGCAGGTGTAGTTGCCGAGGGTGTTGTAGCAGGTCCCAGGGCCGCAGATCCCAATGTGAGCAGAGCACTCATCAATATCTGCCGAATAAAGGAGAGTGGAGGTCAAAACACTGGGCACAGGTAGAGAAGGGCCTGACATAGGGTTGGGGGTAGGCTTGGCACAAGGTACGGATGGGCCTGGCACGGGGACCAGGCTGGCCTGGCACTGGGAAAGGGGACAGGGTTTGTGATGAGGATGGGAAGCCTGGAAGAGAAAGGGGAAGGGATTCTGCCAACCACTCCTAGGGCAGCCCAGATACACGAACAACTCTGTTGCACACACATGCATGCACACACGTGTGCCATACATGCCAGGCACACAGACAAGCACAGGCACCACGGTGCAGCTACCTTCACAGATGCGTGTGTCCTCATTGAGGTAGTAGCCGAGGGGGCACTCACACTGGAAGCTGCCAAAAGTGTTCACGCAGTTGCCGCCCTGGCAGAGGCCTGGCAGCTCCTGGCACTCGTCGATATCTGAGGAGGGAGAGCAGCCGGGAGGTGCTCACTGCCTGACAGACCAGCCCAGGCAGTGCCTTCACCCCAGGAATCCCGGCAGGTTCATCTCCCCACCTCCAGACCCTGCCGGTGCCCGAGCGGCTCGGCCAGGTGGCCAGAGCACGTCCGAGGAGAGCACACACTTGCTGTTCATCATTTGGTGGTCAGGGGCTCGGCGGGCACCCAGCCAGCCCAGGGCCAGGGCAGACAGTGCCCATATGGGGCTGGGCTCTCCCAGCACCCAAAAGCCCCTGGTGAGGGGGCATGGGGGCCGGGTAGGCTTACCTTCCAGGATGACAGTGATGGGGTTGGGCCGGAAACCTTCTCCTCCAGGGCACAAGGTCTTGTACTCGGCTGCGGAAAAAGTCAGTCAGGGGGATCCTGAGCTGAGCGGGCTCCCACGAAACAGAAGGGGTAGGGAGAACCAGGAGAAACCCAGGAGAAATAGGCCATGAGGATGGTGACAGTGGTCCAGATGGAGCAGCCTGACTCCCATCGCATGCCAAGCCAACTTAGACACCCTGTCTCTGCCTGCCCACCCTTGAATGGGGTTATTCCACGTCCACTGCCCTCCCCCAGCCCACTGGACTAGGAATGAAGGATCCCAACCTGCATCCCCCAGGCACAACCAGCCTGGTCTTCCCCACCTCACTTCACCTCTCGCCTGCCCTGGTCCACCTGTCTAGCCCTGCACTGACACAACAGGGTTGCCTTCTCAGATTGCCTCAGCTTCCCTTGCTCCATCGTGATGATAGCATATCCTGGTCCCAGGATCCCCCAGCCTGAGTTGAGAAGCCATAGGGAAGCGGCCCCGTCTCTCTCCTCTGCTCTATGCTGCCCATCCAGCCCATGCCCAAGTTCACCCCAGACATTTTCCCAACTCACTCGTGTTGGCTGGAGGACAAAGCTCGCAGGGGTTGCCCCATGCACGACCCAGGGAGCAGCAGCAGGATGCCCGAGTGACCCCAACTCCAATTTCTGCGCTGCAGGAGATCCCCCCATCTCCTCGATCCTGGGTGTCCAGGAAGCAGTTCCCAACACGGGTATCTGCACAGAGACAGTAGTGGGTGAGCAAAGCCTCTCCAGTAAAACTTGTGTGCACAGGAGGAATGAATGGCACTATTGCCTCAAGAAGCAGGGAGAGGGATAAGGCCCCAGTCCTGTCCCAGATGTCCACACTGTCAGCTACCTGTGTTGTAGGAAACCACATCCAGACTGTCCTTGCAGCTCATGACTTTGGGAACCCTTCAAGAATAAAGTGTGCCCAGCTTGTCTGGTAAAAGCCACACTATATCATACAGAGGTGGCCTGTCTTCAGTACGGCTAGGGAGCAGGACCCAAATAATGCTATCAGTAACCCTGGGCCTTTAAAGAAACAAACACTTAAGAGTAGCTCCAGAGCTGCCCAGGCAGCTGTTAATGGTGCCATCTCCACTGGCAAATTCTCCCGCCTTACGGTGTCAATTTGCACCGGCACTTTGCTATCTCAATGGCTCAGGCTGAAAGAATAACATTGCTTCAACCAGGAGAGCACCCACACTGGTGACACAAGGTGGGCCAGGCTTAACAGGAGGCAGGTACTCTGCTGCCACTGCAGGGTTAAGCCCATCATGGACAGCCAGGTATTTGGCAGGGCAGATTGTGGTCAGCCACCCCAGTCTTTGGTAGTGGTCAGCTGCAGCTACGTGGGACCAACAAGAAGGACCACCAAGGTCTTGGATGGAAGGTGTGCTCTCCACACAGGTCCCCACTCACCCACACAGCCCACACCAGTGGGGTTCAGCTCGAAGTCCTGTGGACAGTTGCACAGGTAGCTGCCAGGGGTGTTGACACACAGGCCGTTGATACAGTTCACAGGGTCTGCACATTCATTGATGTCTGAAAAGATGGAAGGATGAAGACTGAAAAGAAAGATGATGACTGCCACAGAAACCACAGCCCCAGCCCAAAGCTCTGCACTGTGCGTTCAGGGTGTATCCCCATGACCATGGTGTTTCTAAGGCTCTTCATGTGATAGTAGGCAAAGCCCTTCTAGAAACAGACCTTGCCTTGTCCTACCTCACACCACCCTGCCCAGAGTCAGAAGAAAGGAGCAGAGCCACACCGAGCTTTCCCTCCTATCTACTGAAGGCCCACCTTCCAGCAGCATCGAGGCCTTGCCAAGAGCAAAGACACATCACCACATCATGCTTAGTCGTCTTTAGGCTGCTAGTGCCACTCCCTGTCATGGTTGGGGCAAGCTCATACCAGCAGATCACAGAGCAGTGATTCTCATCCCACAGTCCCGTGAAAGTCCTATACCTGTGCAGTTGCCTCCGCTCCTGTCCAGTTCATAGCCATCATCACAGGCGCAGCGGAACATCCCGGGCAGGTTCTGGCAGGTCCCAAAGACACAGATATTTTGGAAGGTGCATTCATCAATGTCTGCAAAACAGGGAGAGCTGGGTACTCAGGATCTGGCAGAGTGAGGGCCAGGACAGGCCTCTCCTGCTCCCATGTCAAAGCAGAGCCACAGCCTAGCTGTGGGTAACCCATCTCAGGATGGTTCTAGTGCCATGGGATACCACCTCCTGGGTGAGCAGGACCAGGCATGCTGTGTGTACGCCCCCTCCCCTCACCCCTGTTTGGCTGATTGTCCCCACCTTGCACGGGTCCTTGGCTTAGCCCAGCCTCTCTGCAGGCTGGGAACCAACTCCTGTAAGTGGAAGAGCTGGCACCTCGGGAGCCTTGCACCACCAGGTGATGGTGGGTCTTGCTTAGGTGGGTCTTGCTTAGTAATGGATCAGGTGGCGACAGTGCAGTGGAGAGACCAAGGCCAGAAAGGAGGTGGACACTGGATCTCCAGGAGCAGCAGTCAAAACGCTGGGCACTTACCCTGGCAGGCCTTGCTGTCCTCCGTGGGATTGAAGCCCATCTCGCACTCGCAGCGGTAACCCCCAGGTGCATTGAGACACTGTCCATTCTCACACAGGTTCACATTGTCTGCACACTCGTCCACATCTAGAAAGAGTCAAGCATGAGACTGACATGGTGTCCACCCAAAGATGGGAGCTCCTCTCAGCTTGCCCAGAAAATTCCCACAAGCTTGTTCTGCCCGCTCTGCTGGGAGGCTGTGAGGAGGGGGCTGCAATACTTCTCATTGCCTTGATCCTCCCCAAACACCCGCTGAGAAGGTGGATCTCTGCTGAAGGTATCTGAGCAGGCTGTGGTGCAGGGCAGGCTGCAGTGGCTTTTGGGGAACATCTGGTTTGGGGAACCCCAGACACAGGCAGCCAGGTGCTGAGCCAGGCTGGTGGTTAAGAGGGGGTGACACCATGTCCCAGCAGGATGCCCAAGCCATGTTCCTGCTGCCAACTGAGTCTACAGGCCTCACCTGAGCAGGAGAAGCCATCCCCGTTGAAGCCTTCTCGGCAGGCACAGCGGTAGGAGCCTGGTGTGTTGACGCAGTTGGCATTCAGGTTGCACTTGTGCTCTTCAGTTGCACACTCGTCCAGATCTGGGCAGGGAGAACACCCTTGTCAGTGTTTTGCCTCTGGCCTTTCCTCTAAGCCTGGGTAGCTAGTGCAGGGCTCAGGGGGGCACACAAACGGCCCAGGAGACCACAGCCTCCAGGCACTTGGAGCACTCATGAGGTTCCAACACACCTCTGTGAGCCTCAGCCTCTGTGGCCATGAGACACTCCCCTGGCAGTGCTGACACAGACAATATGGCAGTGAGACACTTTCACGCACACACGCCCCCCGCCACATTCCCAGTGCCTCCCCAGTTCAGACACACGTATCCGTACACATACCCTTACGTCCCTTCATACACACCACACACGTGCCCGTAAGTCCCTGCACTCATATACACACACCAACACATCCCTACGCGCCTCCCACACGCGTGCATCCCTGCACACATACCGCACCGTGCCCCACCTCATCACCACACAGCTACATTGCCAATCTGACAAGGGCGTTCATCCACGCTCATCTCAATACCATGCCCCCACACTCCACATCCCACAAGTACATTCCCTCGCTCCCACATTCATGGCTTCACAGACACGGTTGCAGAGCCTGACAGTGCAACACCCGTATGCCCACACCTGCAGTCCCTCTCTCTCACACACCCACATCTCTCCACACTTCCATAAATCCTCATGCAGGGCTCCTGGGGCTCAAGAGCATTTTAAATGCAGGTGTCAGCTCAGCTTAGCCTTCACAGGTGCCCACAGAGCACCTGGACACACGAGCGTCCTCTCCTGGGATGAGAACTCACCATTGCACTTCAGCCCATCTCCAAGCCAGCCTGGGCGACACTTGCATTTGAAGCTCCCGGGCACGTTGATGCAGGAGGCGTGCATGTCGCAGTTGTGAGCCCCGATCTCGCATTCATCAATGTCTGCAGGAAGGAAGGACGTCAGAGCTGACACAGCTCAGCTCCCCCAGGAGAAGAGAGGGCAGCCAGGTACAATCCTGCTAACGGGTCTGGGTACCAATGGCTCCTGGGAGTCTGAACCCCAGGGGAGGGGAACAAGGTGCTTTGGGGAACAGGCTGCCTGGAGTCGTTCCCTTGAGCCGAAGAACTGATCTGTGCTCACCCCTGGCAGATGAAGACAAAAGGAAGGGCAGGCCCCTGGCTTGGCTATAAACTAGGAAAGTGTCAATTCCTGCCTGCAGCCTGCCTTCCTGGCAATCTCTGCCCGCCCAGGAGGGGCTCCCAGCACACAACCACATCCCTAGGTGTCCACAGCATCCCCCGGTACAGGGATGGTGTTCTCTCCAAGGCAGCTGCAGGAGGTGTTTGTGAAGGCTCCCACCAGCACCCCTAGCTCCAGGTCTGGTGTGTTCCCACCTGTGCAGCCCGTGGTTCCCTTCTTGACGAAGTAGCCCAGCTGGCAGTGACAGATAAAGGAGCCCTTTGTGTTTTCACACTCGCCGTGCAGACAGATGTTAGGGTTGAGATCACATTCGTTCACATCTGCAGGAGAAAAAGGACTTGCTTGGAACACCACGAGAACCATGACCTGGCTCTGGGGCAACCCTCTGTATCCCTTCTTCCCTCCAACAGCAGCCTTGTGATGCAGTGCTGGCACGTGCCCAGGGCACAGCCTTGTCCTCACCGATACAGGTCTTCATGTCCAGGGATGCCATGAAGCCATCGAAGCAGAGGCAGCGGTACTCCCCAGGGATGTTAGTGCACTGCCCACCATCACAGATGTCTGGATTATCCTCACATTCATCAATATCTAGAGAGAGGAGACCATTGCCAAAGTAAAGAGGTTAGAGCCAGTGAAAGGGTATTGTGGGAGCAGGAGGGGGCAGGAGGGAGTCACAGGAGGGGCTTTGCTCCAAACTGTGAAGCTGCAGGACTCTGGAGCCTGTAACGAGGGGCTGGACATTGCAGCGCAAAGCAAAAACATCTGTCCAGGGAAATCACCTCTCTGGAAGTGCCTTAAAAATGAGGCCCCCCTCACCCTGAAGCCAGCACTATGTCTGACTGGCAATGGACGCAGAGGTCCCTGAGGCAGCACCTACGAGAGCCAAGCTGACTGCTCACCTGCACACGATCTCTTGTCTGGCATCAATGCGTAGCCTTCACTGCAGCTGCATTCATAGCTGCCCTCCGAGTTGGAGCAGTGTGTGTCACAGCCGCCGTTGGTTATGGTGCACTCATCAATGTCTGGGGGGAGAAGGGAGAGGTCAGGCAGCCGCTTGGGTCGCGGGCTGGGATACGTGCCTTGCAGCAGAGCTGCTCAGACACAGTGCCAGTAACAGAGGCAAGGTGGGAGAGGGGCTGAAGAGGAAACAAAGCTCCCCCAGCCAGAAGAAAGCACCTCTTGCCTTCTCTGCAGCTCACAGTAGTTTCACAGCTGATAACAGCCCCTTACCAGTAGTGCCAGTCTGGGTGTAGCTCAGCCAGGAGGTTCCCCCCTTACCTTACCCTCAGACACCCCACTAGCATCGTAAGAGGTATGAGGCCAGGAGGGATCTGGGTGCATACTGGGGTCTTGGCATGGGTGTTTGGCAAAGGGGAGCACTCACCGACACAGCCCTGCCTGTCCAGTGTGGCCTGGAAGCCCGAATCACACGCGCACTGGTAGGTACCGATGACGTTGACGCAGCGTCCGTTGCGACACAGGTTGTCGCTAAGGGAGCATTCGTTGATATCTGCGGTGGGAAGGAGAGTTTGAGCAGCCAGCCGTGCTGGTGCCACACTGAGCATCGTTTGATACCCATCCCTGGGTACCCCCCACCTACTGCTGTCTCCAAACTGAATTTGCCATTGCCCCGTTGGTCAGTCTTCAGTGAACAACAGGTAGAACAACAGACATCATAAATGCAATGAAACCCTGGGAGTGACCTCGGTCCCTTCTGGATGAGTGTGTTCTACCCACATATGGGATTGGAAGGAGACATTCATGTGCCCAGCATGAGATCCAAGTCTCCCTGTATCATTACCCTTGAACAGGCTCTGACCATAACATAGCTTTCCATCATCTCACCTATGCAAGTGTTCCCTTCAGAAGTCAGCTCATGTCCAGGGGGGCAGATGCATTCAAAGCTGCCATCTGTGTTCATGCAGATCCCACCTCGGCACAGCAGCGGGTCCCGCTCGCACTCATTGATATCTGCAGAGAATGACATGAAATGAGGTGGATTGTCCCCTTCAGCTGGGTTTTCCAAATAATGGGGTGGTGCTGGTGCCATGCGCCACAGTCCCATCACCAGAGATATAACCCAAAACAGAGGATTGTATCACAAAATTAACAGGGTAGCGAATCCAGGGCTTGGGTGAGTCCAGTGGACTTATGGTTGAAGTACACATTTTGGGAAACCACAACTCTTGCCTTGACCTCAGCAGAACGTAAAGCGTAACATCAGGAGGAAAGAAGTTATTAGCTTTGTGCAGATTAGCCAGCAAGGACTAGAAGGACAGTTCCTAGCTCGCATCCCACCTATCTTAGTACATTTTCACAAGTGCCATCAGCAGAGGGAGAGTTCCTCGGAAAATGTGTAGTTTGTTTGATAGAAGACTAACAGACAGGCTTTCTTGGTAACAGCCTTCGGAGTAGTTCCAGTATCATGCACAGGGCTAGGAAATAGTCTGTACATTTCTGAAAAAATCACATATGGACAAAGAGATTGAATTTACTAGGAACTGGAGAAATTCCTGAAACAGATTAAACTGCTGAGAGAGAGATGTGATCCAGCCAAAGATGAAACCAGGCTGCTGACAGTAAAAAAGAAAAAAGAAAAAAGAAAAAAGAAAAAAGAAAAAAGAAAAAAGAAAAAAGAAAAAAGAAAAAAGAAAAAAGAAAAAAGAAAAAAGAAAAAAGAAAAAAGAAAAAAGAAAAAAGAAAAAAGAAAAAAGAAAAAAGAAAAAAGAAAAAAGAAAAAAGAAAAAAGAAAAAAGAAAAAAGAAAAAAGAAAAAAGAAAAAAGAAAAAAGAAAAAAGAAAAAAGAAAAAAGAAAAAAGAAAAAAGAAAAAAGAAAAAAGAAAAAAGAAAAAAGAAAAAAGAAAAAAGAAAAAAGAAAAAAGAAAAAAGAAAAAAGAAAAAAGAAAAAAGAAAAAAGAAAAAAGAAAAAAGAAAAAAGAAAAAAGAAAAAAGAAAAAAGAAAAAAGAAAAAAGAAAAAAGAAAAAAGAAAAAAGAAAAAAGAAAAAAGAAAAAAGAAAAAAGAAAAAAGAAAAAAGAAAAAAGAAAAAAGAAAAAAGAAAAAAGAAAAAAGAAAAAAGAAAAAAGAAAAAAGAAAAAAGAAAAAAGAAAAAAGAAAAAAGAAAAAAGAAAAAAGAAAAAAGAAAAAAGAAAAAAGAAAAAAGAAAAAAGAAAAAAGAAAAAAAGAAAAAAAAAAAAGAAGAAAAGAAAAAAGAAAAAACCCCAAGTGATAGAAAAGTTTATAAATGCCAGACTAAAAAACACAAACAAGGGAAACTACTAGAATGGTGCACTGGTGATGGTTGGAAACAAAAACCAACAGAAGGAGGAAATGAAGCACTGCCAGTATCAAAACTGGGAAGCCTTGTTATCGATTCATTATCCGTGGCCCCTGGAGAAAGCTCTTTGTGATCTGCTATGATATTGTACAGGTGACAGTCTTTGTGATACTTGTGGTGCTTCACAGTGCGAGTTACGCTCTTTGGAAGGGCAAGCGCTGGATGAATCTGATCCTCTAACTTTGGAAACAGGAATCTGAGAATGAGGTTCTCTATTTTGGTCCCAGAATAGATTAAAAAGATTTTGCATTCTTGCATGCGCCTAGAATTGACTCAAGATGTCTTGCACTGACAGTAAGAGAGCAAAAAGAGGGAAGCCTCCCTGGAACTGCTCAGAGATTCATCTGTCCACAGCTGTGCTCTGAAAAACATGCAATCAGAATACAAAGCCATTGGGTGTAACATAAATGAACCGAGGGAGCTAAAAAAATGCCCTCAAGAACCCCTTAGTGACAGCAGACAAAGGGAGCCATGTCAGATATATTTAAAGAACCCATTTTCTTCTCATACGTTTATTTTTCTGATTCCAACCTTGTAATTAAGAATGGAATCTTTCACCTTACTTGAAAAAAACACTGTTGAGATTTTCAGCTTATCTACAGCTAAAGTGGACTGGGATACATCTGACAACGGGGGTGACGGGCCCCTGTCAACCAGTCCCACAGGACCCATGCCTCCAGTTCTCCATGGTGGGAGACTTCCTAACGAACTGCAGTATGCAGGTTCAGTGCTGATGTTGTTTATTGCCAGGGGCTGGCAAGAATTCCTTCCTCATGAGGCTGAAGCCAAGTTCTTTTGCCAAACACAGGTGGGAAGAAGTTAACCCTTGACCACGGGAAATGCTGTAGTGTCATGACACCCTTTGTGGTGAAATGACTCAATCCCATGTCACCTAGAAAAAAGGATAAGGTGGAATCATGCAGATAATAGTGAGCATTAAAAAAAGAACAATGAAACGCAACATCCTTACATAAAGATAACAGAAATCTCATTGCTGAAAGAAGTTAGCAGGCCATCAGTGGGGACTGTGACATTCTCAGTATCTCAGAAACGGAGGAGGAGGAGGAGGAGGAGGAGGAGGAGGAGGATCAGTGTGATCTGTGGTAACCCATACTACAAATTGTACAGAAAAGACAGAAAAACATGCCAGTGGCAGGGCGGTGATATATTTTAAAGAACCCAGAGAATCAAATATGAAAAATAAATAAATGGTATTGAATCACGCCACAGATTGATGTGGTTTGAACGTCCAAGCCAACGCAGAAAGAGCAGAATATTAAGACTAGGTCAGTCAGACAAGTTAGTCTGGCTAGACAGATGAGAAGAGGAACATGGTATGCCAGGAATTAGAGGACGGCAACAGTCTGGCTGACTTGTTGGAGACGAACTGAGGTACTGAGGTCATTGATGGGATTTTTTTTAAGTTACAAACAAGAATTATTAAATTGGAAACAGATGAGAATCTGACAGAATAAAAACAAGCATAGGCCAGATGGGAGGAGCTGTAAAGAATTATCTGAGGATAAAGGACGATTGAATGGGCAGGTGAAAGGGAGCCCTTACAATTATAACTGGAAATAGAGTGGGGTAGAAGAATGCAGATGATCTACCAGAGCTTCTCATGAAGGACTTGACCTGTGCAAATGTTTGGGGAACTGGACAGGGGCCTGATTAATGGTTGAGGCTGGTATGAAATTGCTGCAGATTCAAATCCCAAGGAAAGGTGCAGAAACAGCAACAGTTGATTAGATATCACATATAAGAGACCAGGTTGAGAGTAATTTTAGAAAAGATTCAGTGGAAAGCAGCCCAAGAAAAATTGGATGAATCAGCAAGATTCAGAGCTAGAAGAGACACAAGCTATCAAAGGTGAACCTCTTTCTGAGTAAGGTGTATCTCCATGTTTTCATGCCAGTGGCGGTGGAGGCATTTGATTTAATGGCACACGGCTGTAGGATGTACAATGACAGCAGGAGGCCAAGCAGTGCTATAAAGACCAAAGCTTAATATGTCTTCTAATATAGCAGTGGAAATAATAGGTCTACTAATCTCAGTGGTGATCTAACGACGATATAACTGACAGCTACTTGCAAGGAACATATATTATCTAGAAAAGGGACCATGCTACATGTAACAGGATTTAAATGACTGATGTGGTATGTGAGACATCATTTAGGGCAGGTAGATGAACCAAGTTAAGAAGGTAACTGTGGTGGCATGGATAGGGTACCACACAAGAAGGTCTACAAATTGAGAAACATTCCGCAATGGTGTTTGAAAATACATGTAATTTAACGTAAGGGTTGAACATATGATATTAATAATGTCTGGAGATGGATGTACTTTTAGAGTGTGGATATGAAAATAATCAGTGGCAGAATAAATAATAGATGGGTAACACAAGGCTGAAAAGAAGTAGGAGATGGGACGTCACACAAAGGAAACAGCCAAGTGTGTACGAGAATTGCAGCTCACAGCCGTTGAGTTCAAGCTGCCGGCCTGGCAGAGCTCCACTGTGTACTAGCCAATCCCCAGTATAAAGGTTGCCATCTCCCTACGTAGCAGGAAGGAAAATACCAGGCATGGATCCTGTCCCAGCTCAGTGGCAATGCCAGGCTCCAGCTGCAGCTCCAGCTGCTGGTGGTTGAAACAAGAGGAAAGGTTAGTGGCCAAGGTTTGGTGCAAGGGAAGGTCCAAGCGAAGGAAGAGTACAAAATGAAGAAGAATGAACATTGTAGAAGTATGTGAACAAGTACAAGATGAAAAAGGAAATACAAGGCCTTAGTCCGCACACACGAAAGGAAGGCAGCATTGCACTGGGATTGCAGGGAAATGCCCTTTGGGCACAGCAAGCAGGAAAGGGATGGGAAAGAACTTGAGAAAAGCTGCTTGGTGGCCCCATGGGCTCCCAGCGTGAGCTCCCCTGTGGGCCCCCACAGCTGAGGTAACGGTGGCCAGGAGGTGGCAGGGCAGGACCAACGATGTCCCACGAGTGTCATGGCAGTCAGAGCCCAGGATGCTCCCCTGGGCCTGGCACTATACCCAGTGTCCTCCCTGATGCTGGCCTGGGCTGCCAGTCTCCTTCCCCAGCTCATGGGGCACCACCAGCCCAGGTGCTGGGCACAGGCTCTGGTCTCTGGTCCAGGAGGTCCTCATAAATAGAGGTCTCTGAGGGAAGGCTCCCGGTTTTGGCCCCACGTCTGGCAATATTTTCATGGTCTGTCCTTGTTCTGCATGGTACAGAGCCCTGGGGCACTGCTAGCAGAGACAGCATGGGGCCCGTCACTGGTGGACTATTGGCCCACATAAGGCAGAGCACCCATGCAAGAGGCAGAGGCTACAGCTCTGTCTCTTTGCCCTCCTTCTCTGGAGGGATCCGGGGCTCAAGCCAAACCTTGGTGGGGACATGGCCTCTCCCTTTATGTCCTCCAGCTTCGAGAGCCTGTGCTGTGTCTCATGAACCCCTGACTTCACTTTGCATATGCTTTGCTGTCCTCCCAGGGTTACATCTATGGTGCTCTCAGCTACACACACAGCATTCCTCTCTCTCTCTCCACATGCTGCCCTTCAGCCCAGCTCTGCCTTTGCAATCAAAGCAAGGCAGAAGACTCACTACCCTGGGGAGAGCAGAGGCTGCCAGGGCTCCCTGCAGCACAGGGACTCCCACAACTCCCCCAGAGGGCAATGAAGAGATTTGGCTTGATACCAGGGAACATAGAGACAGACAGACAGGTAGCTGGACAGCCAGATGCACAGAGAGCAGCTTGGCACGAAGCCCTTTGTCAGATCTGGCATCGGCTACTTTATTCCCTGTTGCAAAAGAGTAAGGGTGCTGCCCTGCCCCAGAGACAAGTCCTTACCCATGCAGTTTTTCATCATCATGAAGCCACTCTCGTAGCCTTCGAAGCACTCGCACTCGAAGCTGCCCGGCGTGTTGACACAGGTGCCGTGGCCACACAGGTCTGGTGAGATGCGGCACTCATCGATGTCTGTGGGGATGAAGACCAGCTAGTGGAGGCAGGACAGACTACGAGCACCACTACAGCTGCCACTGGGCTGCCTGTACTGCACATCAAATTCAATGAACAAGGACTGGCAGGTCTGACCCAGCAGACCAAGGAACTCCTCTTCCTGAAGGGAGAGACAGCAGTTAAGCTTTCTCTCTGGTGCAGGACTGACCCTTCATCCCACAAGCTGGAGGAGCCTTCTGCTCATGGTCCTGCCCTTGGCTTCTCAGTATGTCCCTAAGATAACTGCCATGATTCCTCTGGGTACCACCATCACGCTAAGCATCCCACAAGGCAGGCAAGGCAGCAAGATGGGCAAGAGTGGTCCGGAGGAGGGCTACTCTTCCCTTACCTGTGCAGTTCCTTTCCTCAGCATCCAAAGCAAAGCCGTTGCCACAGAGACACCTGAAGCTGCCAATGGTGTTTCGACAGGTCCCATGAGTGCACAGGCCAGAGAAGACCTTACATTCATTCACATCTGTGGGTGAAGGCAGAACAGCAGTGTTTCAGGGAGGGGATGTCTGCAATGAACCTAGGGTCCCAGGGCAGGCAGCAGGTTCCTTGGGCTGTAGCTGAGATGGGCTGAGCACAGCCCACAATCAGCAGCTCCTCTCTTTCTTCTCACCTTTGTAGAAGGGCCTTCCTGAAAGCACGTCTCCTCGGTTGGCAAAGCCGGGTCCCCTCGGGCAGATGGCCTTGTACTCGCTGGAGCCGATCTTGGGACATTCTTCACAATCGATGCCCCAGGCTGAGCCCACAGAACAGCAGCACATGTCGATCCGGTACTTGCCTGGCAGAGGCTCCGTGCACTCATCTTCATCCCACTTCATGTAGCACTGTTCCACACGCACGTCTGGTGAGAGAGCAGAGCTGAGCCCTTGCCTGCAGCACCTAACCTCTGGTAAAACCAGAGATATCATTTTCTGTGACATAGTTAGCAAGGTTCCTGGAACAGCTTTGGCTGGAGCATCCTCCAAACGATGCTCAGGTATGGGCCATTTGCATGAGGCCAACTTGTTTGGGATGCTCCGAGAGATGTAACAATACGGACATGGCCAGTCTGTGACTGTTGGCAACAGGGCCAGAGGACAGACCCTCCATGGTGTAGTCAGTAGTACAGATGGCCCCTATGAAGGGCAAAGGTTCGTCACTGTGTGCCCAGAAAGCAGCCAGGAGTTGTTTTAGGGCTGCTGGGCCGTGTCATTAACCAGTTAGGTTTCCTATTTGGCTACCCCTGAAGTCCACCCAAGGAGAGCAATTGCGTTGCTGGCTGGACCTGGGGACATGAAGTTACGGCAGCCTTGCCTTGGTTAGGCTACCAGGTTTGGCAGCCCTTACTAGGTATGACGTGCCATCACTCAATTCCCCAGACTGCTGCATGTGGTGGGTAGGGGGTGGTTGGACCTCTGTAGAGAGGGCTGAACAGAGGCCAGGTTCTGGGTGAGATGAGGTGTTCTTACCCACACACGTCCTAGCAGTGCCGTCAAGGGTCAGTCCTTCTGGACACTCGCACCGAAAGGAGCCAGCCGTGTTCACACAGCGTCCGTTTGGGCAGACGCCAGGGAAGACCTCACACTCATTCACATCTGTCGGCACAAAAGCAAGAGACAGGCATGAGAGTGGCACACGGCCAAGCCCAGTATGGCCTTGAGGAGATGGAAGGAGCCCAGAGCTGCCCACCAGATCAAAACTGGCAACTTGTCGCAGTGAAAAACACATGCTCCGTGCACAGCCACAGCCATGCCCAGACACTTTTGCAAGGAGGCTGCATTACAAAGCCTTCTCAGAGACAGACAGGCAGGGTGGTCCTGTTGCACGTGTCTATAGTTGGCACAGCACTGACAGAGCAGCACCAGGACTCACAAACATGACTACTGCTCATGGAGCAGCTAAACCTGGAAACCCATTTCCAGGCACACGAACGACAAGAAAACCATCAGTAGTAGTCAGCATGGATTGACCAAGGGGAAGTCATGCTTGATGAACGCAATAAAATTCCATGATGCAATGACTGGCCTAGTAGATGAGGGAAGAGTGGCGGATATTGTCTACCTAGCCTTCAGTAAGGCCTTTGACACTGTCTCCCAGAAGATGCTCATAGACAAGCTGTTGTTGTATGGGCTGGACAAGCAGACAGTGAGGTAGACTGAAAACTGGCTGAATGGCTGGGCCCACCCAGGGAGTGGTCTTCAGTGGCATAAAGTCTAGCTGGAGGCCAGCAGCTAGTGGTGTACCCCAGAGGTCAGTACTGGGTCTGATCCTGTTTAACATCTTCATTAGTTATCTGGATGATGGGGTAAAATGTGTCCTCAGCAAATTTGCTGATGGTACAAAACTGGGAGGAGTGGCTGATACACCAGAAGGTCATGCTGCCATCCAGGGGGACCTTGGCAGGGTGCAGAAATGCGCTGCCACGAACCTCATGCAGTTCAACAAGGAGAAGTGCAAAAGTCCTGCACCTGGGGAGGATCAACCCCATGCATCACTACATGCTGGGGGTCACCCAGCTGGAAAGCAGCTTGGCAGAAAGGTCCCGGGGGTCCTGGTGGACACTAAGTTGAACATGAGTCAGCAACGTGCCCTTGCTGCAAAGAAAGCTAATGATATCCTGGGCTGCAGTAGGAGGAGTGTTGCCAGCAGGTCGAGGGAGGCGATCCTTCCCCTCTACTCAGCACTGGTGAGGCCACACCTGGACTGCTGCGTCCAGTTCTGGGCTCCTCAGTGAGACAGAGAGATGGACATACCGGAGAGAGTCCAACAAAGGGCCAGACTCAAAGATGCAGGATAGCAACAAACAAACAATGACCATGTTCTCAATTAAAAAAAAAAAGTCTTCTGCATCCTGCAGCACTTTACCTTCACACGTGACCCCCTTCATCCTAGCATATCCTCGGGGACAGGCAGTATCTGCAAGAAAACAGAGGAATGTCAGCAAAGAAATGGGCTGCCTCCTGCCTTCCTGATCTCTGTGCCAAGCAGAGCCTTACCGATCTCACAGCGCTCACAGGGGCTGCCCCACGCTGCCCCCAGAGTAGCACAGCACTCCGATTTCAGCGTGGCCCCGTTGATGTTCACCTCGCAACGCCCATCCTGGATGTTCAGCCAGCATGTCCCTTTCATGCTGTCTGTAGGGGCAAAGACAAGGCGTGAGTGAAGAGCTGCTCCTTGGCGGAGGTTCCCAGCTTCCATCCTGCCACAAGAAGCAGCTAGGAGAAACTATCCCTGAGCTGCAGTGTGACCATTGCTGTCTGGTGTCGCGTTATCTTTTAGGCTGTGGGGCCAAGCACTTTGCAGCACGGACACAGACCGTGCTGGTCCTCAGAGCCCTGTCCCACTGCTGTGCCGTGGAGCAGCATTTCTGTGCTCCGATACAACTGCTATTGCATCAGTTCTCTGTCCTCCCTTTTCCTGGTCCCAGCCTGCTCCTTTTCTCAGTGAGGTAGATCCCTTCTCTCAGCTACCCCAGAGATGCCTTGCAAGGCCCCGACCATCTAGGAGTGGGAAGTGGGTACCTTCTTATCATCTTGATGAGAAGGGATCTACTTCATCTTGATGTGCCTTAATGTCAGCACACTACAAACCCATCTGGTGAATGAGAACCCACCATCCTGACGCCCTGCAGGATCCCCTGGGGCCCCGTGTCTGTGCTTTGTCTTGCGGCAGCACAGTTGGGGATTTCTATGTCTGCCACAGACTGCTCAGAGCACTGCCTGGGGTTGCAGCTTTTCAGGCTCCCTGGATGCATGAGAGACGTTAATTGTTAACAACAACCAAGGAAACACTAGGTGAGAAAGACAGGCCTCAGAGGATCCCCATCCCTAAGGCAGGAGCATAGGACTTGCTTCAGATGAACAAGGGGTGCTGGTGGGCACTGCTGATATCAGAGCTGCCTCTAGAAGGCCGCATCCTTACCCACGCAGATGGTGCCACTGGGGTCCAGCTTGCTGCCTGGGGAGCACTCGCAAGCGAAGGAGCCAGCATTGTTCCTGCAGACGCCGTTCACACAAGGGTTAGAGGTGCACTCATTGATATCTGCGGGAAGAAAGGGACTGTCACTGTAGTCAGTGCCACGGGACCCAGTTTTCTGGGCCAGAGACTGGGGAGGATGAGAAGCAAAGAACATGAAGAAAGGAGTTTGTCAGCTGTTCAGAGGATCACCAGTCCAGGCCATAGGAGTCCTGCATGTACCACTCAAGTATGTACCATCTCAAGGGGGATGGGCACGGGCAGCAGACACCGTGAAATTAGTGAGCTGCTTCAGGATTGAGGGAATGGATGGATTGAGGGTGGTTGGTGCAGCTACCGGGGAATGATGGACTCGCTCGCTCAGGGCTGCTCCTGGCTAAGATGGGAGCAGCCACAGTGCTGAATATGGCCTTCATGTACCTGTCTGAACCAGCCGGGAGGCTACATAGCATTTGCCATTTTTCACCTTCTTTACAGAAAATAATTTTTTTTCTCTCAACAGACATTTATGTGCAAAGTGCCAGTTCTCAAATGCTTGAGGACTTTGTGGTCAGGAAACAGTTTCCTCCACTCCAAACTGTAAGCTTTCAATCAAATCCCCAAAACTTGCAATTTTGGTCAGGTTTTAGCTAAAATTTTGGGGGCTTAGAGGAAATTGTTCTGGTTTTCAGTCACTGAAAAGCCCAGATGTTCTGGGTTTGGATGTCCACTATTTTGAATGAAGTGTGAAATTTCCCCCTAGGAAAAAAAAAAAACAAACAACCAAACCCACAAACCCGAAGCCTGGACCTGCTCCAGTTCAAACCACTGCGGTCAAAAGGGAACCAAAGACACATTAGACCTTGAGCTCCCTTTCCGTCAGGACCTCAGGCAATAGCTCTTTACATCTTGTGAAGATGTTCTGCGTTGCCTTCAGAGTCGCGTTACCTTCACAGGTATCTGTCTCCGTCCTGAAGACAAAGCCCTTGGGGCAGGTGCAGGTGTAGCTGCCGGGTGTGTTGCGGCACAGTCCATTGTCACACAGCAAACGATTGACAGTGCATTCATCAACGTCTGTGGGCAGAGAGATGGAGTTTCTGAGCTACGCCACCAGCGTCCACTCTTCTACTCTGCCAGCCCTACAGAGCTCTGGCAGCCTGAGAGGCACAGAAATGCAGTACCGTCCTCAAAGCAATAAAATGTGGAAAGTATGTTAAATCACGTATGTGTAGTTTCTCACATAGCACCTTGTGCTCTTCCATGTGGACAAGGCAGCCCTGAATGGGGACAGTGCTCGAGGGCATCAGCTGCTGTATCACCTCAGGCTCCTGTGCAGCTGGAGGTCTGCATCTGGCTCCCAGCCTCATAGGCTGAGTGCATGCCACCCTCTCCCCACCAGCACCGAGCTCCTGGTTCCCTATGCCACACCGAGCTTGCGCTGCCCTGAACTCACCCACGCAGTTCTTGCCCGTGGGATCTGACTCATAGCCCAGGTTGCAGATACAGCGGTAGCTTCCACGCAGGTTCTCGCACATGCCATTGGGGCAGATATCTGGGTTGAGGGCACATTCATTGATGTCTGCACGGAGAAAGAAATCAAATTAGATGGACCATGGCAAACGTAAATACAGAAAGCTTCCAGCCCCTAATTCTGCATTGTTCCTTGGTGTCAACAGCCAGCTGGGGCACCCCTCTGCACAAATCCCTCCTTCCTGTCCTACCTACCCTCCTGGTTTGACCCAGTAGGCCCTGGGGAGCCTTGTTCCTCTCCTCTTGGTGCTGTGGAGCTGGGCATCTTTGTCCTGGGGATACACAGCTGATCTAGCACAGGGCTCGGAGCTCAGGAGGAGAGAACTGGATAAGGGGTTGAGATAAGCCCAGACTCAGTTCCATATCAAGGGCTCTCAGGTCCTTCTGTTACGTTCCTGAGTCTCCTTACAGTATCTCTATCCCAGGTACCCAGGTCAGACCATTTAATGAACCCTCCTACTGGAAAAGGTGGGAAGAAGCAGCTGTTTGTAAGGTGCTGTGAGCAGGATGCCAACTGGGGTAAGGGCAGAGCGTGATGGACAACCTGCCTGTGCATACACAGCCCTACCACAGGGGACCGCATCGCTGGGGGCAGAACAGGGCGAGGAGTACTCAGACATGTTGGAGAGCATGCAGCTGGGCTGGCAGAGGGTCATGTCCATGGCTAGATGGTCACAGCAAAGCCCTTCCAATGGCATAGTCCCTGTATTTCCTGGCCCAGCCATGGTCCCCAAACTGAGAGCTTGCACAGACTCCTTGACCACGCAGCTACCAGGCTGGAAGAAGTCCTGATCAGGCCAAAATAAATTTCCTATCCCTATTGCTGACAAAGAACTGTCTGAAAGCAGCCTGGGCAGCCTGGAGAGAGAGGTGAGGACCTGTGGCCTCTGCCTGGTTCCTGGCGCTGGAGAATGTGTGGTGGTGGCAGGGCAGGGACAGAGGGGAGTGTTACGTTTAGATGAGGGCAGGAGCCAACACCTGCAGGATGTCAAAACTTCAGCTTCGAAGATTTGCGGAGTGCCTTGGATAAATCTGCCTCGAACAGAGAGTTTTTTGGATGGTTCTGCAGCAAGGTGTGGTGGGTACCACAGCCCCTGCTGCCCATGCTCATGGTGGTTGGGCTCAGGTCTGCAGGGCATCTGACAGGGAGAGCCGTGGGCATCTCTGCCATCACCCACCTCCTGCCTGCCCCCCCTGTCAGCAGCACCAAGAGCCCTGTGCACATGGACAGAAACCCAGAAGGGCGGCAGCCAGCTGGACAGCATCTCTTCCTCTGCATTAGCATCATCTCACCGCCTTTTTGGAGCAAAGCTCTGGTGCCCAGGCAAAAAGATTTTACCCTGGCGAGAACCAGCCTCCCCACACAATAGGGCAGGTTTGTGTTTGTACAGCAGTGTCCTTGCAATGTCATAGTGCCAGATGGCAAGCAGCCCAGGCCAGGGCTTCCCAGACACTGCTGGCCTTCGTCTCCACGCGGTTGGAGTTCAGTTACATCCCCAGGGAAATGCAGCCCTGGAGAGCGCCGAGTGCATATAGTCCTGGCTGCAGGCAGCAACGGGCTGACCAGAGCATGTCTGATGTTAGCTTCTTGCTAGAAAGCGTCTTATCGTTAGCCTGAGACTGACTTCGGCCAAGACACGGTGCCCTGGAAGGAAGCCCAAGAAGCCACCAGGGTTTTGCCTCTGGCTCATTCCCATCTGGAAAGTTTTGAAAGG